CCCAACGGGCGCGGCGCGGGTGCGCGAGAGCCCCTGGGGCGTGGCGGCGCGTGCGCACGAAGGTCCCGCCGAGGGGGCCCGAGGGGCGGGCAGGGTGACCGGCGGGGATGGGAGGGTGAGGGACGGCGGCGCAGAGGAGGTGGATAAATCGTCACGTAAGACCTCCTGTAGTCCTTAACGACCCTGGACTGCGCGGGGAGGTGGGTTCGGGAGGTTTTATGAGTTTGGGTGTGAGGAAAATTAAGGCTTAAACAGTTAGGCAAGCACCCTAGTGAGGGGCAGAACCCAAACCCAGACGTCTCTTCCCAGCCCTGGGCTCAAGTAAAATCCTTAGTTGGTGGTGTTGAGGCAACACTTGAGAAGGTGTCCTCAGGGTCCCCAGATTTGCATTGCCTTGTCAAGTCGAGGAGCACTTTTATCTTTAGGTCTTCGCTCTCGTGTACACTGTTTAAAATAAGTCCCAAATATTTCAAAATAAAAAGTCTATTTTTAAAAAAGTCCCACATCTCTCTGTGCAGTGCCCGGATGCCCACCGCCACTGCCTCCTAAGCCTGGTGAACGCCAGAAGTCTTCTAGCTATACACTTTTACAGTCATCGGTCACTCATTATCAAATCTATTACTTTAGGAAAAGCTTTTCTCAAACTTTGCAGCCTCTTGAGGTAATAACTTATATACACCTGCTTTCTAAAGAAGCATTTCCTCTTACTTATCCTAAACTCATCTTGTTTGGAGACACCACACACAAATAAGATGGTCTGTCTGGAAAGCTTTGTATGTAAACAAGATAATTATGTGTAAACACCATATCACAATTACTATTATTGTCGAAAACTCAAGGGGCATGTAGGATAGTGTGGCTAGTTTTTATATTCTCCAGTTTTTATTGATTCATTCAACAATGATTGAGCACTCACTACCGTGTGCCAAATTTTGAGGGGTCTTGTAGTCATGCAAATAATTTGAACTTTGCCTTATAGAATTCCCTGTTAGATAAAAGTTTTTAAAAGATTTTAGGTGGAGGCATGATGTGGTTAGATTTGCACAGAAATGGCTAGAGGGAGGCTAAGACAGGAGTCAGGGAGGTGATTCAGTACTGTGATTTTCAAATTAAATTTTAAAAAGCATTGGAGTCCTTTTTCAAACAAAATCTATCACAGAACCCCAACGAAAAAAGTAGATGAAAACTTGTGTCTTATTACTAAACATTTATAAGTTCGAATTTTTGACGTTAACTTTATAGGTAAATAAAAAAAGAGGTTGGTTTTTTGTCGTCTTGGGTTTTTTTTGTTTGTTTTGTTTTTAGCAGAAAAGGAATTTATTGGAAGGACATTGGGTGGCTAAAATAATGAATAGGAAGTCTGGAGACCCAAGCTCAGAAAATGGGAAGGAACCAAGGGAGTCTGAACCACAAAGACATAGATAAGACCAAGAGGAACTAGTCTGGTTAGGATGCCATGGCTGGCCCCACTGGTGCTAGACTCTTGACTCTGCTGTTTTATGCTTGAAAAACTTTAAGGTTGGTGGTTATGGACAACAGTTGCAGTTATAGCAGCCTCAGGACAGTTTATTTCTTATTCCTCTATTTTGGTTGTATACTATCAAGAAAATCCTGATCCCTCCAGAGTAGGACATACAAATGAGAGTGGTTTATAAATGATTCACCTTGAAATCTTGGGCATGTGCTTTAGTTACAAAGATGGCAGGAGGAGATTAGTTCTGAGATCTACACTGAAATGACTTAACCTCAAATTAAAGCATGGGCAGTTTGCAATACGTTAAATTTTGACATTATATCTCTTTTGGCAATATATAAATCTGTTTTTTTAAAAGTGAAATTTGAATCAAACATTTCTGGAACCTCTGAATTATGTCTGAGAAACCCTAGGTTCTGTGGCATATAAGTTAAAAGTCACTCATAAAGAGAATCAGATATTTAGACAGCTTTCACTGCGTTCTTCACTGCATGAAGGCATGGGAAAGGGATAGGGAACTGAAGGATTCCTGTTGGAAGATGTTCTCTTGGAAAAACCTCCTCAGTGATGAGGGTTTCCCTAATCCAAGGCACTTTGACTATCTCCATCTCTTTTCTGTTCTCAGCTAGGAAATTCCTCCAAAGAGAGGTGATAGATGGTGGACCACACCTAGGTATTCAAGAGTGTTTGAATGAAATATTACCGTACCCTAAAGATGCAGAGCTGGAGAGCATGACTTCAAGATATCTCTTCTGACTTTAAGATTATACAGTGCCACTTCCATAATTGAAATAAGATAATCTCTCAAAAAACTCACAACTCAGGGGGACTGGCCCAGTGGCATAGTGGTTAAGTTTGCATGCTCCGCTTTGTTGGCCCAGGGTTCAGGGGTTTGGATCCCGGGCATGGACATACACACCGCTTGTCAAGCTATGCTGTGGCAGGCGTCCCACATATAAAGTAGAGGAAGATGGGCACAGATGTTAGCCCAGGGCCAATCTTCCTCAGCAAAAATAGGAGGACTGGCAACGGATGTTAGCTCAGGGCTAATCTTCCTCACATACACAAAAAAACCCACAACTCAGATCAGATGCTTGATTTTCTTTTCAGTTCCAATTCTTGATGGCCATGAAAAAAAGGGGCTTAGAAACTGGGATTCAAAGCTTAAGTCAATGTTTAAAAAACATTGTGTACAATAATTAAGAATTAAATGCATTAAATACGTGACTACTTAGTTTTCCACAACACATGGAGAAATGACATATCCTTTAGAAGGAACTCCTTAAAAATAAATATAAAGAGCGATACTGTGTCAGCATTTAGCATGTCCGTGGATATATCATAGTGCTCCTAGAAAGAAGGGATTTAGCCTTCTTACTTTTGTTTTAAAGGCACCTAGGACATTGTGGACGTTCAGAACATGTTAAAAATGAGTTCTCCACAGTTGGTAAATTGGAATATATCAAAATTAAGATTTTCTGTTCATTAAAAGGCACTGTTAAGAGAGTGAAAAGGTAATCTACAGAGTGGGAGAATATGTGCAATACATTTATATGACAAAGTATTTTGTGTCTAGAACAAATCATTAAAAAAAGACACTCCAATGGAAAGATGGACAAAATATTTCAATGGATTCTTCACAAAGGAGAACATCCAAATGTCAATAAACATGTGGAAAAGTGCTTAATTTCAATAAATCATCTGAGAAATGGAAATTAAAACCGCAATTTGGATCACAAAAAAAGAAAGAAAGAAATATGTACAGAGAACATATATAGTGGACATGGCCCAAACGTGACCTCGTACATATATAGAATATTTCTTCTCATGTTGTTTTCTTTGTGTGTGTGTGTGTGTGTGAGGAAGATTAGCCCTGAGCTAACATCTGTTTCCAGTCCTCCTCTTTTTGCTGAGGAAGATTGGCCCTGGGCTAACATCGGTGCCCCTCTTCCTCTACTTTATATGGGACGCTGCCACAGCATGGGTTGATGAGTCATGCATCGGTCCGTGCCCAGGATCCGAACCTGGGAACCCTGGGCCACTAAAGCAGAGCACGCAAACTTAACCATTTAAACTATGCCACCAGCCTGGCCCCCTAGAATGTTTATTCTCATGTTGTTTTTACAACCTTACTGTAAGATCCTGATTTATTCACATATTTCTAATAGTGTGATTTAAAAGAAAGAAGGGTGGGCATGTAGATTTTAATTCACTGCTATTCTCAGAGGGAGAATTATAAGTCAGATACTGGGTGCGTATGTCAGCATGTTGGCAAAAGATAAAGGAATTATGACAAAGGGATAGAAATGTTTACGTTTAAGATTTCATTTACAATGTCCGGTTTGAAGCTTAAGGACTTTTGGTTCAAGGAAAGGAGGACCATGGAGATGGTGCTAGCCTGATTCATATTCTAGCATGCTTTGGAACTTAAAAACAGATACCCAAAAGAGCCACTGACCCGGATCTCCTAGGAACCCAAATCTGCTTAATGGCTCGGTGCCCTCTAAGCCAAGTTCAGCACCAGAGGAGGTGGTGTGAGTTACCCCTACAGCTGGCTGCATTCTCATTAATTCTCCCACTCTCATCAGTGGCAGACACTGCTTGCTGCTCCATTCCTGTATCCTCATGTCTGCCCTGGCAAGGACAATATACTTTGGCTTTGTTCAAAATTATCCTCTTGGAAGTACTGAGTTATGGCAGAAGTCATTAGGAAAGGCAGGAACTGCTGTATTCTTATCCAGATCTTCTTGAGTCCTTCTGTGGAACTGATTGATGTCCTGAAAGCCCCCAAGGAGTCGGCTGGCACCTGGGGCTGCTGTTACAGAGAGTGGAAGAAGAATTAGTCTGGTAAAATATTTTAACATGAACATGGTGGATACAGAGATCTCATCCAAAAGCATCTTGTGTGTAAACTACTCCCAAGTTCTCCCCACACTGGAATGTGCACTTGCTAAGGCCGGGGATTTATGTCTGTTTTATTAACCTTTGTGATCCCAGCATCTAAGACAGTAATTGGCATATAGTAGATACTCGTTGAATATATGAAAAAAAAAGCAGATAAAGTGAATACAATTAAGTGTGTTTGAGGGATGTTGGAGACAAGAAATTACAATCCGTATGATCAGTGGTTTCAATTTAATTAAAAATTTAATTTTGGTAGTTGGAGAAATTAAACTACAGAATAGGTAATAAACTTATCTAAGATCATATACCAGAATCAAGAATCAAAATTCTGGCCTCTTAACTTTCAGTGAGCTTTTCATTAGGAAACATGTTTATTCCCTTCTGCTGTGGATGCTAGAATTCAGTGGTAAGGAGACATATCTGTGACTTTTTGAAACCAGATAATGATTTATGTTGGTAGATAATAACACAATCCATTTTATGGGCATGTT